CCTTGTGATATACGATATTTTTTTTTTTTATCAGGCGCAAGAACAAATAAAGCACTTAAAAACAAAAAGAAAATCAGTATCACTCAAACTGTTATACTGTCAACAGTTTGAAACAGAATTTATAAATTTATTATTTATGTTAAAATAAGTGCATTTTTCCAATATTTTATAATATATGTATTCTGCTATTCGGATAATAGCAAAATATATCAAAGATAATTAAAAATCGGTTCGGCCGTTCTTAAGTTATAAGTGGTCTAACTAACACGACTTTCTTTAATGTATATTGATTAAAGTACTATTATTATATTATATTATTAGTTTTTATATTTGTTACTGCGCTTAGGTCGTTTATTTAAGACATAAATTTATGAAAATATTTTTTTTTAATAAAATAAAAAATTACACTTTTTAAACTGTGTTAAATATTTAGTTATATTTTAATTTTTATACAAAATTATTTATATTACGGATATTTTGATCCACTTCGTAGACCATCTTCAGTGTACAGCAATATTAAAAAAATAAATAACATATATAAAAACTAATTGAATATTGGTTGTAGTAGCAATTTATTAAAGTCTATATTATTATTATATAATATATAATTATAGTATATATAACAATATTATATAATATAATTTACATAATAATAATTTATAAATATAGGAGTCTGTGTCAATTTTTCAAGAATAGCAAGAAAAGAAAAATAAGATAGCTATAAACAACTAAGTCAAAAGTACATGAAAAGTTTTGCCAGACATCGCATTACCAGTTAATATAGAAGACAATTAGCACAATACTACACCAAATAAAAATTCAATTAAACAGAAAAATCCATATAGTTTACCAGAAAAGCTATAAAAGTGATGGGCATGTGATAAAGTATATATGGGTATTACAAAAAAAAAGTTCAGGACATCATTAAAACTGAATGGTATTTAAAATTCCATCGAAGCCTATGTTTTATTTATATTATATTGTATGTACGTATGTTATATGTATGTATGTATGTATACTATATTGTATGTTCGATAATCTATAGATACCAAGAATGTCATCAAAGGTTAGTCATCAAATATCATCAAAACAAAAGTTATTTTTTTGCAATGCTTTTAATTGTTATTATTTCAAGCACAAAGGGCTATAAACATATATAGCAACCTATACTTAAGGACACCGAAAGATTATAAATGTACAAGAATATAAATTAATAAATATATTTTTTATTAGTTCATTCTTTGGTTCTGGTTTCTCAGCACTGTCTTAGGGCCATGTCTTGTAAAGTGTCTCGGGCACGGCATGAGTTGTTTTAAATGCAAATTATAAAATTGAGATCAAGAGAAATAACAATATGTCGGTTTAAATTCCGGCATGCGAGCCGGCGTATTTGTGTCTCGGCACTAAGGCAAAGGAGTTTTGTTCAGTAATAAACTTCAGAATTTGCGCCTTTTAAATTCAAATTCCAACTTGAGTTTATAACGTTTTGGAGAAAAAATGGCAGTAAGCAACACAGCCTATTTTATTAAATGCTAATAATCTAATTATTACACTTTCCGATTTTAAGGAAAAGCGTATAATTTTGTAAGTATTGTTAACAATTATTATAAGAAAATATAATAATTAAATAATATTATAACAATGAGTTTCCATGAGTTTTTTCTTGATGGTTATTTTTGGTAGCAAATTGAAAGTGATCATATCTACATTTCCTTTTAAATGAAGGCATAACCAAATAGTACCAAAACATTGTAAAAATATGAAATTGACGATACTGATGTGACAGTCTACATAACATATATTTTCGGCATAGCCCGAAACAACCAATTTTGCCGTGCCCGTTACACTCTACATAACATAGCTCTTAGTGACATAAGTCTTTCAAAATTTATCAGAAGAAGACATCATGTGTTTAGTTTAAGGAATGCTATTTTATAATACCTTCAATGTACAGTATCTAGTATAAGTTTAATATTGTATTAAGCAAATTTTGCAAATTTTTGCGTAGTATTAAATTAAAATTAATGAGATTATTAATAGTAAGAACAAAAGTGATTTTATACTACTAAGGCCGTGTGCGAGTTGGAGTAAATTGAGGTAAAGTAAATTGAAATTTTCTAGGGATTTTTTGTACTGCACTTAAGTAAATATGTATATATTTTTATTATTTTTGATTAAAATTGTTCAAATTTATTTATTTATTTTTTAAATATCTAATTTACTTAAATTTTATCTACTTTATCCTACTCGAAATTCTGGTAAATACCAACATTCGCTGCCATACCGACATAATTTACTATTTCCCTCAATTACTCGTCAATTTACTCGAACTCGCACACGGCCTAAATAATTTATTCTAAATGCAAACCATTTTGACATTTTTAATGGCTTTAATGCATACTTTTAGGTGCCATAAAAATATAACTACTACCTGAATTAGATTTAATTAATTACTCCTTAAAGTAGACTAAATTTTTATATGGTAAACCTATAATTAAACTACTTGATTAGAGTTTTAATCGCGATGCAAACTCAAATCTACTCTTAATGTCATGTAAACAAATTGTTATATATATTTTATTTTATTCATATTGATTATTTAAATGTTCTATGTACACTGCGAAAGAAATTAATTAACCTCAGCTAATACTTTTTTATTAATATAAATCTCGTGTCGCTTTAATTTTTTAATTAATTTTCACAAATAATTTTATTTTAGGCATTCTACATCTATGTCACTATTGTTTGGTAAGTAAAATAATTTTAAATGCATCAACAAATTTGTTTAAATTATTCATTTTATTAACTTTTATTTACGTTTTATGTTTTTTATATTTACGTTTTTTATGTTCATGTTTTGAGCAGTGTTTAATTACGTTAATCAGTAATATTATAGTGGAATTGAAACTAAATCTTAAGATTTTCTTACAGAAGTGAGAAAAGATGCTATTTAAAAGCTGTCAAATTAATAATTTGGGATAATGTGTTTTCATCTGAGTTTCTTACATTTTCAAAATTACTGTTAATCACTAAAAATTTAATTTTAGAATCGTTGAAAACAATTAATTTCAATTACTTCACTAACAAAACCATTAATTTCAATTACTTCACTAGCAATTTTTACCATTTTATGGTTAATGTTAATGGTTTCTATTAAAATACCTTTCATATAATTTATTATAAATATTTCCTGAGGTTTTTTCTTATTCATATCAACTATAATTTGGCTTTAATTATTTTTTGATTATATTTTTATGTTTAAAATATTAGTGTAAATATTATATAAAAAGGTTTTCAAAAAGTAGTAAACTATAACAACAAAAATTCATTTTTATATTATTTTAATTCATTGAATTTCTAGCTGACCATATAGCTGTTTCGAGTATTGCCTCCTTAAGCAACTGACCCAAAACTGTACTTGACTTTTATGTTCCTCCATTTTTCTGGAATTTTGTTAATTTGCTGTGAAAGTTTTATCAACAAATTCACTTGCTGTGTTGTATTAGAACGATATTATAAACCAGCTGTAATTAATTGAATTAATTAATCATATTTTTATATTATATTGTTAAGTTTCAATACTATTCTGTTTGTAAAGGCATTGTTTGTTGTGTAATTTATATATTCTTTCTCATGTATAGAACATAAATCTAGGAACATAATACTGAAAAAGTCATGCTAATGTTTTTCCACGACTTACACGAGCGAAACTGGTTATTTTTAGGACTAAAGTGACTGTTATATTTAATAGAAACTGGTATATTTCATTATGAGGTTTTCGAAAAGTAGTAAACTACAATAACATAAATTCATTTTTATATTATTTTAATTAATTGAATTTTTATAAAATGCAGTATTATTATATTCACAATATATAATTCGCAATGTAAACATTTCAGCTGCAGTTTCAGCTATATCAAGTTGGAAAGACCACAACATTAAGCAACTCGAAATTTCGAAATCAAAATACATGAGATATTATATATATTGAAACATAATATGAGGAAGACACATTATATTACAATTTTATTAGTGTATTTTAAGTTAAACTTTGTTTCCCCGTAAACTTACAAGCTGACTCAATTTGCCATCGGTCACATAAAATATTCAAGCAGCTTATTATCTATTCTTTATATAATAATATAAACCTACATATTGATTTTTCTTTCACTCTCAATTTTATAATTTGCATTGAAAACAACAACAACTTTGCTCATGACGAGCCCATGACACTCTGCATAACTTGGCGTTGAGCATTTAGAAGGCACCTTAAAAAATTAAAAACATTATCTACTGTATATTGATGAGGGACAGTTAGTATCGGCTCTCATGACCAAATTTAAACCAACATATTGATTTTTCTTTTACTCTCAATTTTATAATTTGCATTGAAAACAACAACAACTTTGCTCATGACGAGCCCATGACACTCTGCATAACTTGGCTTTGAGCATTTTAAAGGCACCATGAAAAATTAAAAACATTATCTACTTTATATTATAGTACAGTTATATCGCTTATACAAATTTAAACCAACATATTGATTTTTCTTTCACTCTCAATTTTATAATTTGCATTGAAAACAACAACAACTTTCCTCATGACGAGCCCATGACACTCTGAATAACTTGGCTTTGAGCATTTTAAAGGCACCATGAAAAATTAAAAACATTATCTACTGTATATTGATGAGGTACAGTAAGTATCGGCTGTCATGACCAAATTTAAACCAACATATTGATTTTTCTTTCACTCTCAATTTTATAATTTGCATTGAAAACAACAACAACTTTGCTCATGACGAGCCCATGACACTCTGCATAACTTGGCCTTGAGCATTTAGAAGGCACCATGAAAAATTAAAAACATTATCTACTGTATATTTGTTTAAAAAACAAGATTTCTAAAAATTCAACTTGTCAATTTTGACCTGTCAAAATTTTGAAAATATTTTCTTATTAGTAAACTATCATTAAAAAAATTAGTAGATTAATAAATTAATTTTTTTTGATTCTAAAAACATAAAATATGGTAAGAAGGGCTTGAGTATTAAAAAAAATAATTAAACATTATATATATGTAATACATATACTCTATATCTTGAGCACATACCACAATAAATATAAATTTTATAATAAAAAATGCATACACCATAATATGTAGGTTTAAAATTCCGTGGTATACCACTCTTTTTAATAGATCAGTTATGTAGAAATATAAAATAAATTTTAAAAATATCAAGTAATTTCTATTTTACTTTCTTTTTAGATTGAATAAATGTTTTAAATATAAACTTGATTTTTCATTTGATTCACTGTGAACCAGGCAGATATTTTAAAACACAGTTGTCTTAAACGTAACTTCCACCTGCCAAACAAATATATAAATTACAATTATATAGTACTATGAACATATAATATAAACATATAAATTTTAATTCAAACACTTCTTTGCATTATACAAATTTTTGTTTTTTAGTCTCAACGCGGTTACAACTATATTGGTCCTGAAGTTGCCTCTGCCGGTATTGCTCAGACCAAACCAACCACGATACTAGCAGGAGGTGGTCAAGGTGGTTTTTCTGCAAATGCACCGTCAGTTGGATATCCAATAACTCAAACCGGCAATGAAAATTCACCATATGTTGGCGGTTTTGTTGGACAACCACAAACACAACTAACGCAGCGCACAAGTGCCATCGGTGCCGGTAATTTTCCTACTGTGCTGCCAACTGCAACTGGAAGTGTTTTTCGTACTGGAAATGCTAATGTACAAAGACCGGCTGGTGCCGTTTTCGGTGGTACACGGCAATTTGCTGGTGCTGGTACCGGTGTTGGTGAAAATACTGGTGTAGGAATAGATGAATCAGAAGGTGACTATTCTGCTATACCAGGTTTACCTGGAGTAGACTATCCCATTTATAGCGTCGTACCGCCCACAACATTCGATTGTCTACAACAACCATTACCGGGATATTACGCTGATGTTGAAGCACAATGTCAAGCATGGCATATTTGCGCACTCAATCGCACTTATTCTTTTCTTTGCCCAAATGGCACGGTTTTTAGTCAAGAAACTTTGGTATGTGTATGGTGGAATCAGTTCGATTGCAGTATTGCTCCAAGTCTTTATGGAAATAATGCGTATATATATGACTATGGCAATGAACGTGCGACAGCTCAAACTCCACAAATCGGTGCAGCTTTCCGTCAGCCTACAAGCTTTGTTAATCCAAATACTGTACGCCCACCAGCACAAGGTTCTAATATCTTTACTAGTGGTGGATTGCGCACAACTATTACTGGTGGTAATACTTTTGCTAATACACCAATGGGTCTACAAGCGGGTTTTGCATCAAACGTTCCTGTAATTAGTAATACAGCTTCAGCAGCACGTTTTCAACCAGTTAATGCTGTAACTGCAGTTCCAACATATCCCACGGCGGCAGCAGCAGCAGGAGCTGGCGTTACTCCTGCAACGTTTGGTGCTGTCATTAATCGTCCTTCTGGTGCCAATGCTGGTGCAGCAACAGTTGCTCGACAAGGAAGACCGGGAACTACGGCTAACCGTGAATATTTACCACCAAGTAGACGTTAGAACGATTTTACTCCAATTTTTTTTGATTTTTAGTACTAATGTACTAAAAAATGGCACACGTTTATGATGTTCCTTTTAAAACATGAATAAATCTTAAAAAGTGTACAGATGAAATGATAATTTCAATTCTGTTTCCACTTTATGTACTATATTAGGTTTATAGTATATTTTTAATTTCATAATATGCTTTACTACTTCATTTCATCCACTCTATGTAAAACAAGGCATGCCTTTATGTATCTTAATCTTTTCTTCATTTTACTATACATTATATATTTAAGTTTTCAATAAAAAATGTTTAATGGCAAGTAATTAATATTGTTTTAATTTTTGTAAAAAAAAACTACAACAATAAAAGTTCTTTTTATATTCTCCAGAAAAATGCGCGAACATAGTACGGCTTTGGATCAGTGTGTGCGCTGACTTTGAGCTTCAAATTTGGCAGGACACGAATTTGATTCCTGATACTTGCAGTCCCACTCATGATGGATATTTGGCAATACTCAAAACAGCTGTAAGGTCACCCAAAAATTCATTAGATTAAAATAATATACAAATGAATTTTTGTTGTTGTAGTTTACTACTTTTCGAAAAAATCTATATATTATTTTAATTAATTGAATTTTTGGGTGACCATGCAGCTGTTTTGAGTATTGCCAAATATAGTACTCAAGCTAGCGACTGTAATTTAATATGGGGCAGTACTACAATAATGCATATACTCGACTTCATTTTTGATATTTCTACTTACGCTAGTTTAATAGTAAGCTTTGGATTTGAAGAATTTGAAAGTATCTCTCTTATTGTAAAGTTTTGAAGTATTTAGAAAGTTATATTTAAGACACATGCATACTAGAAAGTAGTAACTATTATCTTTTCAACAGATAAAAATATCTTTGTTTTTTTCTAAAGAATGTCCTTCAGAAAAAATCCTTTCCTTTGTATAAAGAAGCAGATATTACTAGGAAATAACATGGGTGACTAAAAATTATGCATATTAAATTGATGTCAAATTGAAAAATCAAACTAATCAATCCTTATAATTTTTAATAATGCCGAAATAAGTTTTAAAATATCTTTGTGATATTTCACAATTATTATTTTCTATTGATTTTTTTCATAAAAAAAGAGAGTGTAAGTTAATGAACATCGCCCTGGTACATTGTTTTTATTACAATATATACCCATAATTTATGATAAAGTTACACAATGAAATGTAACAGTACAATTATTGTGTATTGTATTGTGTGTTATACCAGATGGACTGATAAATACCCGACCTAAGTAATAAAGACCCATTTTTTTTGGAAAATTATATTTTATGATTCAATACAGTCCCCTTTTAGCTCGACATACATATTTGGATTCCTTTTAAATAATACGATTTATTAAGTCCTCAAAAATGTACCTCTTTACACTTCATCATTTGATGCAAGTCTCATTTCCTAGAGCCATCTATTCAAGTTTAGAAACAGGTAATATAGTCACTGGAATCCAAATCTAGAAAATGCGCTGAGTAAGGAAGCAATTCGTACCGTAATTCATTTAATTTTGCCATGGTTTTCATAGACGTGAGAACGGATAATTTTTTCTTCGACAAATGTGTGTCGTTTTTTCTTGATATCCTCATCAAATCGATCCAATGTTATGCAATGGCAGTCTGATGTTAATGTTTTTCCTTTTTCCAAATAGTCCATGAAAATTATTTCACTTGAATCCCAAGATACGAAAGCCAAAACTTTTCCAGTCGATTGTTGAGTTCGTGACCGTTTGGGAACACTACCCCCGGACTCTACCCATTCTCTGGCTTATTGTTTCCTTTCAGGTGTGAAGTAATGGATTTATGTTTTATGAATTGACACTACTCGACGCTCACAGTCAGCTAAATTTTGATATTAGATCTTGCCTCTCTAACTGTAACCTTATAATTTATATAACCACTTATTTTTACTTTTAGAAAAATTTATCACTTGAAAAATATGTCAAGTGATTTTTTTATGTAATTTTAAAACTAAGCGAAAAATGTATATTAATTAATTAATAATAATATAAGAAATAAGACAATGATTCTAAATAGATTCCAAAAAGTATGCATAAACCTTACGATTGCAATAATAATCCTTGGAATTGTAATCATTTTGTTGACGTCTAATTTTAAACATGAAAACGAAAAGCTTAAAACTGTATTGATAGCAATCGCGCTCGTTTGGCTGATAAAATATGTTATATTTGATCTGTTAATCCTTGTAGCATTAGCATTCAGTGATGTTTATTGCAAATGTTGTAAGAAATTAAAAAGAACTAGGCAAGAGGACAAACCACAGCAAAATGGACATATTGAGACTCTCAAATTACAGGTAGAGAGCTACAAGTCAAAAGTACAATTACCAGAAAAACACACACATGAAACCACCAACTTAAAGTATAAACAAATAACCGCAGACTTGTGGGTCTACGGTAAACAATTTTTACTGCTTTTAATAGTGATAATGGGAATACATAATGGTCTAACCTATTGGAATGCGGTCATTATGAGACGAGTGCTCACAAAAAATGAAGAACGAGACTATTCATTAAATGATGTCAAAACTCCAGACCAAATATATGAATTTATACGGAACTTACCGATACTGCAATTCAATGATGGTAAGGATTACAACAATATGGAAATTAAGGAGCAAGGTTGGATATCATATGAGCTGGGAAAACTGATCGGTGTAGTACGTTTAAGACAGTTTCGTCGCACAAGTGAAAAGGATATAATTCGTAATCTAGTATATGAGTTTCGTCATTTTATGCCTGGTTGGCAACTGCCTTACGAAAAATTGCATTATGTAGATAAATTTTGGCGTATTACTGAGCCTTGGTTACCAATGGAGGCAACATCTTTTCAAACTCATAACGATTTCTTCGCTTTCACGCGTTCGGGGGTTTTGGATGATTATGAAGATGGAGGCTACGTGGCAGTACTAGCTAGAGACGTAAACAATAGTGAAAATGTTGTACAAATGCTAGAAGAATTTAATTGGATTAACGAAAAAACATTAGTGGTGTTTATTGAGTTCACAGTGTACAACACCGATACGAATATTTTCACTGTTTCTAGCATTATGATGGAGCAAACACCTTTTGGTATTATAATGTCGTCTTGTAGTGTACTCAGTTCAGCTCTCCTACTGAATATTGACCAACTCAGCTATATAGGGTTAATTGTGTTATTGCTCTACATACTACAGTTGATAGAATTCACAACAGTTATTTTTCTAAGAATTTGGCATGCCCCAGAAACAATTTGGTTACCATGGAATTTAGTGGATATTACCATTGTTG